ATGTGAGCACAATCTGAGCAAACCAGAATTTAATCCAACCTCAATAAAGTTCAAAATCCAGCTTGTGGCAGTGTAAGTCATATGTGGCTGTGCCCTGAATTATTTTATTTGCTGTTCTTTGAGTGTGTATGAAATCAATCATCTAACGATTTGTTCTTTTTTTTACAGGAGCTACATTCCTGAAGTGAGAATCATGTCCATTCCAAACCTGCGTCATATGAAGGCAAGTTTGATTAATGCTGGGACACTTAAAAGAAATTATGCCGTTTATTTGTTTTCTGTTTTTAATAAATTAATAAATAAGACCATTTGAACTTGAGGCTTAGTCTGGTTACACTTCTTTGTCATTTTAAGTTATAGAACTTTTTACATTTGTAAGTAATTGTAGTGTTTTGTTGTAATACAGGAGAGTCAGGTTCTGCTGACCTTGACCAACCCAGTGGAGAACATCACTCATGTGTCTCTGTACACCTGTGAAGAGGAAGACCCAGATGACATTAACAGCACTGCTAAGGTAAAACACCACAGCTGAGCCTATATAACTACCAGTACATATGAATTATAGTGATTTAAATAAATTATAAGCAGTGTGTACTGTATGTCCTATAACAGGGGTTTTCAACCCCAGGGGGGCGCCAGCACCTGTCAAGCGGGGGTGAGCATCAGTTAATTCAGAGACGTTCCCTTGAGAATTTATGAATGAGTTAACAAATCTTTAGCCATCCACTAATGATAGCTTGTGGTTGGTTTTTGATTTGGACAATTGTACTTATGTGGCTTGAGCTGAAGCTGTAGCAGAAGCATGACTCTCCAAAACTCTCTCTGTTAATTTCATTGATGATGAATTTTCGTCAACAACATTTTTTCACCGACGAAAACGAGACGATAACGAAATAAAAACTCATTTTGAATGACAAAAACTATGACGAAAATGTATTGATATTTTCGTCAACTAATTAAAACGAGGCGAAAATGTTAGGGAGGGACGATTTGGGAAGAGAGAGATCCAGTCAGAACTAATCTCCTGTGAGGTAAGGAGGTTATGCGAACATTTTAAATGTAATGCGTGTTTATCTATCCGGTGGGACATAAGCTATTGCTGCACATCTCATAAAACGCTAAAAAATGTCAATATATGGGAGTAAGAAAAGAGCAGACATATGGATACATTTGAAAAGCACGACGATGCAAAAGAGAACTCAATTCGGTCCGGTTTTCTGAGCGCACACACACACACACACACAGAAAAGCGCATCTCTCACAGCGCACGAGTACTGAATTCAGTTCTCTTTCGCGTTGCACAGAGAAATACACACAAAATGATGTCGAATAGTCAGTTTTGACGAGTATTCACAAACACACTCGGTTACGTCTTAAGTGAGCGTGAACCGTTGGGAGAATATTGGATGTGTATCAGTATAATAACATCCTTGCATTCTGTTTTAAAGGGACAGCAGCCTAATTTAGTTGCTGTTGAATGTGTCATTGATGTTAATCAAGCAACAAAAGAAAGAGAGAAAATCACTCACTGCTTTTGACTTTAGTAACCCTAATAAGGATTAATCTAAATCTATTTATATAAATAAATTTGTCTGCTTGAAAGAATGAAGAATGTGGCAAGTTGTTATAAAAAATGAATATTATATAACCATTGGTATTTCATTGAAAGCAGGACCATGTTCTTGTTTCTTTATGAGACGTGGTTTTATTTAATGTTAATATAAAGGCATATTGTGCGTCACAGCATTTAAATCTGTGTCTATATTGCATGATAAAACCTTAATATCAAACCTATATAATGAGATTGGAAATTTTAGAGAAATGCGTAATAAATGCATTACACTAACTAAACCCATTAGATCTACTGTAGATTTAGTCGACTAAAACTAAAACAATTCAGATGACTAAAATATGCCTAAAACTAAATGGCATTTAGTCAAAAGACTATGACTAAGACTAAATCAAAATTTGCTGTCAAAATGAACACTGCTCCAAAAGCAAACACTCCGTTCAGTCTCCAGACAGACATTGTTTACCTTGAGTGGGCCACTGCAGGGGACATGATAGAGTCATTACAGCCTCACCATTACTGTGCTGCAGTGTGTCATTGCCTTGTGTTGTGCCCCCATGGTTTTATTATGAAAAATTATTGTTTAATAGGTGCTGGTGCCCTCAAAGGAACTGGTCCTGGCAGGGAAAGATGCCGCCGCTGAGTATGACGAACTGGCTGAACCTCAGGGTTTTCAGGATGACCCAGAGTAAGAACCACCTCTGCTGATGGATACTGAGAGCAGATGAATCAATTTAGCTCATAAATTACCAAGAAGATGAGATTGCAGTAATACAGAGTCTGGGGCACAGACTTTGAATAGGTTATTTATTTATTAATAAGTAGGGCTGCATGGAGCCTGCTTTGAATTTGAACATCAGTCGTTCACTAAGTTTATCACACCCCCATTCCTGAAATATCTTTGGCTATTTTGATGATGCTTTCAGGTACCATATGTCTGATTTTCTTTCTTCTGCTGAACACAAAAGAAGATATTTTAAAGAATGTTGATGACCAAACTGTTGCTGGTCCCCATTGACTTCCAGTTGGCAACCAGCAACTGTTTGGTTATGAACATTCTTCAAAATATCTTCTTATGTGTTCAGCAGAAAACAGATGTTCAAATAGGTATGAAACAACTGAAGAGTGAGTAAATGATGACAGAATTATTATTTTTGGGTAAACCATTCCTTTAACACATTTAGCTGTATTTAAATCCATTCTGTGAAATTCTGCAATTTAATAATTAATAATAATTAATTATAATAATAATTTAATTAATTAATTAATAATTTATACATTTAGCAGACACTTTTATCCAAAGCGACTTACAGTGCATTCAGGCTATACATTTTTTACCAGTACGTGTGTTCCCTGGGAATCGAACCCACAACCTTTTGTGCTGCCAACGCAATGCTCTACCACTGAGCCACAGGAACACAATTTCCTTCCACAATCATAATCGACGAATCATAATGCTGATTACCATAAAAAAATAATTGACCCTGGTTATTGTTAAAAATCTAAAAATTGCGGTTAGAGTTAAGGCATTTACAGTGGAAAGTAAACTGGGTCAGTATTCTCAAGCTTAATTGTAAGTGGTTTGACACAAATATGAGCTTTATAGGAATTAATTTCTTAACCGTTCTTTTTGAAGTGGGAATACTTTTCTAGATTAACTTCTGTCTATGCATTACAGATTTAAATCCTGTGCATAGGGTCTGTATATTAAAGCAACTGTGTAGTTTTGTGTATTTTTGTGACTTGAGCTCCCTACAGTTAAATAGAATTCACTGTTGTAAGTATATCACTGTCGTAATTACAGTAGTTAGCTGTAAATGAGCTCTTGTTGCTGCCGTAAAGCAGTCCACCCTTTTTGTGGAATTTCGTACCGCTCAACAAACTTGCATACTCCCAAAACAGATGTTTGAGGGGAAGCGTGGGGAAGAAACTGAAGCCATTCGCTTTATTAGAAGTCAGTGTACCATCAGAATGATTTTGAAACTGATATTTCAAGGTAAAAAACGTACATACAGCATATAGAAGCTTTATTTTTGAGCTGAATGCCAAATTTATTTCCTCTGATAATCACTATTATGCCACAAATGCTGTTGATAGAGCAGAACTTGTATTATAGATGAACATTTAAGTTTGCAGCTACAAGTTTAGTCTATGTTCTTGGGGCATCTGCTTTTAAACATCTGATAGCATCGTTTCCTGTGTTTTTGCCGTTCATGAATAACAGTCTGTACTCTTTTGTATCTTCAGTGTGGTGGCCTTTAGAAAGTCAAACAAGATTGGCTTCTTCATCAAAGTGATTCCGCAGAGGGAGGAGGGTGATGTCACTGTCGCTTTCAAACTCCGACATGACTTCCGGAACCTCGCTGCTCCGATCAGACCCACTGAGGAGGGAGAAGCCACCAGTGAGGCCATCTGGCTCACACACCATGTGGAGCTTAGCTTGGGCCCCCTGGCAACTTGAGAACATAACACACGAGCTACACATGCAAACATAAACACTCTGACGCATAAAGGGACAATTTAAACAACATGTGGCACTAAACTCTCTTGCTCATAAAGATGTTCATTATCTTGACAAAGTGAGTGTAAATATTATCAGGCACACATACATCACTTACAAGAATGCAGTTACTTAACAGTACACACACTATGCCTACACTTATGCCAGATGCTTTGCGCAGTGATCTCTTTCTCGCTCTGTTTCTAGTGCCCGCTGCTGACGTGTTTAACTGCATGTGATTACAGTGACATCACCTACTGTTATATTTCATGGTTCCAACTCCAGTTCTTCTCAGTGAGTACATTTACATGGACAACAATAATCCGATTTTAACACGATTAAGACAATACTCTGACTGATTAAGAATCTACCATGTAAACAGATTTTTGATTACCTTAATCCGGCTAAAGTCATACTCTTAAGTCAGGGGTAGGCAAGTTCGGTCCTAGAGAGCCGCAGTCCTGCAGAGTTCAGCTCCAACCCTAATCAAACACACCTGAACAAGCTAATCAATGTCTTCAGGATTACTAAGGCTATAGGCAGGTGAGTAACCATTAAAAACACCATACAAGTAGCTGCACTACAGCATATTGTAGTAGTGTGGTGGTAGTAGTATGCTATTCCGAATTCATCCATACTGATCTGGATCTCACGTTCAACTCACTGACTAATTGATAATTCCTTGTTTCCTAGCTCCTCCCTCTTCCACCCCGTTATAAGGACCTCTGTCGTATTAAGTTGTACATATCAGTTCGCAATCATTTGTAATAGCATACTAATGTTGTATACTGTTTTTCTTTCTCTTATTTAAATATACCCCGAGGAGAGAGCAGCTGGGAACGAGAATTCACAAGCGCGTCCTATGCGGAAGTCGAAACACCTGACTCACGTATGTGCACGTGACCGTTTTAAGTCACGTTTTACCTTCGCGATTTAATTAGGCCTTGTATTTCACGTACTTCAACAGTGCATCTTGTTTTGATTAAGAAAACGTCTTAATTAACTACATACCAGCACGCTAAACGCAACTGATGTCAACAGCGTTTCAATGAACAGTATTCGAATACGTCTTATTTTGGATCATTCTTGCATCTTATCCTTGAATAATTGAATAGGTAAATTAGAACTGGAACGACAAGACGGTGAGTAATTAAAGCGTTTAAATTGTTGGGTAAACTTTTTCCTGTAATATTCATTCAATGTTAGATGCTGTCCACTAGATGGCGGTCTATCATGTATAAAATGTATCATGGTCTTAATATTTGACATTGTGCAGTCAACAGACCGGCCTTTCAGGTATATGATCCGTATATGTCTTACTTCACTTGACAGCAACTTGTTATGAGTTGTTAATAATATCCATCAAATTAAAAGCTGTTTTAAAAAAAAAAATTTTTTTTTATCTTTGCTGAATGCATGAATGTAAACTAGAGGCTTTAAAATGGCTTTATGTACAGTGTTTAGAGAGCCATGCTAAGAAGAATCTACTTTCCACAGGCCTTAATATGCTCTTAACCTAATGAAGTCAGGAAAAACCAAGAATAAATTGATTTTGTCAATGGTACGATTCAAAACTGTGAGTCTGTACTGTCTGGTTAAACATTTACTGCCCTGTATTTTACAAATAACACAATGTCCCACAGTGTATTTTAGCATGATGTCATAGTTCTTGTGTCCTAACTAAATTAATATTTGACATTGTGCAGTCAACAGACCGGCCTGTCAGGTATATGATCCGTATATGTTTTACTTCACTTGACAGCAACTTGTTATGAGTTGTTAATAATATCCATCAAATTAAAAGCTGTTTAAAAAAAAAAAAAATGTTTATCCTTGCTGAATGCATGAATGTAAACTAGAGGCTTTAAAATGGCTTTATGTACAGTGTTTAGAGAGCCATGCTAAGAAGAATCTACTTTCCACAGGCCTTAATATGCTCTTAACCTAATGAAGTCAGGAAAAACCAAGAATAAATTGATTTTGTCAATGGTACGATTCAAAACTGTGAGTCTGTACTGTCTGGTTAAACATTTACTGCCCTGTATTTTACAAATAACACAATGTCCCACAGTGTATTTTAGCATGATGTCATAGTTCTTGTGTCCTAACTAAACTGAACAGCACTGCCTGTGCTGCAGTGCACACACAGGTACACATTACAGCACACCTGATTATTATATTTTACAAAGGTGACAAAGTGAGGTCTTAGTGTAATGCCTTTAACAGTCTATACCAGGGGTGGCGAACTCCGGTCCTGGAGAGCCGCAGCCCTGCAGAGTTCAGCTCCAACCCTAATTAAAACTCACCTGCCTGGCAATTGTGCTGGGGAGTCTGGGTATAAAAATAAAGTGAGCTTTAACAGTAATTGGCAGACCTCTGTGTTTCTCTGCACTGTTGACGTTGGCATGGTTGTGGTACTCGCAGTAAATGATGCGGATGTGGAAATCTAGTTTTTTTTTCGTGTTCATTTTTTGGAACAGTAACCAGATGTTTTTTGTCTCCTCGCTTCGCAGATAATTATCTTAAACTATGCTTCTATTAAGAAAAGAAAACCGTAGCTTCCATGTATGACACATTCATTTTTCTTCATAATAGGCATGTCTGCATATGCCAGCAAGGCCAAAACACTTTATCTGCTGATTTTTCAGTATCTTTCGAGGAAGATAGATTAAAAGTATCTTCTGACCCTTTAAAAGAAGTTAGAGGAAAGAAAGCGGTTTGAAACTGATTTTAATTCACGTTTATATAAATTCAACATATGGCAAAATAAATGCTGGGTGACAGGCAAGATACACTATTCGATTACTGTTTTTCCAAGCCTTTGACCCCGTAGTGTACCATGAGTTGTGTGAGTTTTTGTTTAAATCAACTTTATTTATTTTATGACACATTTTTCTTCATAATAGGCATGTCTGCATATGCCAGCAAGGCCAAAACACTTTATCTGCTGATTTTTCAGTATCTTTAGAGGAAGATAGATTAAAAGTATCTTCTGACCCTTTAAAAGAAGCTAGAGGAAAGAAAGCGGTTTGAAACTGATTTTAATTCACATTTATATAAATTCAACATATGGCAAAATAAATGCTGGGTGACAGGCAAGATACACTATTCGATTACTGTTTTTCCAAGCCTTTGACTCCGTAGTGTACCATGAGTTGTGTGAGTTTTTGTTTAAATCAACTTTATTTATTTGTTTATTGGTGCCTGATCACCATTTGATTAAAAAAAGTCTATCGACGTGTTTTGAATTTATTGTTGTTGTTGTTGTTGTTATTGTTTATTTCTTTATTTGGTCCTTTTTTTTTTAGATTTTCATTTTTTTTTTCTCACTTGTTTTTAACCTTTTTTTTTTTTGCATTCATTGTAATATTCATTTAATTATTTATTTCATTTGGTCCTGTGGTGTGACAATTTATTAATTTCTATAAGTAAAAAAATATTCTTTAGTTTCTCAATTCTCATGAGACCATAAAAGGGGTATAATAATAATAAAATGCTTTTTTAGATGTTTAAAATAGTCTTAGAAGTTTTCCAAGCCTTTGACTCCGTAGTGTACCATGAGTTGTGTGAGTTTTTGTTTAAATCAACTTTATTTATTTGTTTATTGGTGCCTGATCACCATTTGATAAAAAAAAAGTCTATCGACGTGTTTTGAATTTATTATTGTTGTTGTTGTTGTTATTGTTTATTTCTTTATTTTGTCCTTTTTTTTTAGATTTTCATTTTTTTTCTCACTTGTTTTTAACCTTTTTTTTTTTGCATTCATTGTAATATTCATTTAATTATTTATTTCATTTGGTCCTGTGGTGTGACAATTTATTAATTTCTATAAGTAAAAAAATATTCTTTAGTTTCTCAATTCTCATGAGACCATAAAAGGGGTATAATAATAATAAAATGCTTTTTTAGATGTTTAAAATAGTCTTAGAAGTATAGCACCACACATCAGTATCCCAAAAGTATTTCAAGTCAACTGCCCATGTTAGTAATGAGTAAACAGAACAAAATGACCTGTCAACTCATGGTCATAATTCTATTCACAAGGAAGTGGCACATCTGTAATAACTATACAGAGGCACAGCACAAATCATGATTTTTAAAGCCTGATGATTTGTTACTTCATTTAATCTTCATGAAAGACCTGTTTAGAGGCATTAGAGGCCGAAAACGCCTTGTGTTGCCTCTTTCTGCAAATGTGCTACAGACTAACTATGTGCATGTAAAGTGTTCAGCGCTGCTGATCTAAAACGCAGCCACCTCTGGTTGTTTCCCATTTAGGGAGTTATCTTTACCGTTAAACCTATATGTCATGTTGGTTGAGGTCCCTTGCTGCCATTATGGGCTGTTGGAAGGCCTCTTCTAATGGAACTGACACATATTTGTGCAAATGATCTAAAACGCAGCCAAACCTCACAAGTTATAAAAGTCCAGAGTAGAAGTGAAAACTGCCACAGTAAAAACTCCCCATACCAGGAGAGACTTTAGACATAGGATATTGTCAGACACCAAAAGCATGATTGTCTGCTGTTCACTGGATTCATTTGTAGTTAAACACCTCATAGAGAGCTTTGAGAAACGATGCATCAGAGATCCTCTCCTGCTCTGTGTGTCTGTGGCCATGTAAAGGATAACCTGAAGAATGTTTATATTCCAGGCTGGTCCATTATGATAGGAAAGATCCTGGTGTAGTTCACTAAAGGTTCCTCTAGCCACCTCTGGTTGTTTCCCATTTAGGGAGTTATCTTTACCGTTAAACCTATATGTCATGTTGGTTGAGGTCCCTTGCTGCCATATGGGCTGTTGGAAGGCCTCTTCTAATGGAACTGACACATATTTGTGCAAAGACTGAGTTCCGGCAGCATCTTTTCACTGGTGTCCTTCAGCGCTGACCTGTGACACTGCTTTGGGTGATTTCGAGTGCACATTTTAGGCAAAACAGAATTCTTTCGCTTTCTATTTTCCACACAGAAGAAATGAAGCTTGAAATTATTTGATGATCTTCACCTGGAGACCTTTCGAGAGACATGCAGTATGTGAAAACACTTTGAAGTCATAGCCAGAATTAGGATTCCAGCTTAATGCTCTGACGCTTGAGCAGTTTCCTCAAGTAATGGGACGATTACATAAAGATGTCAATTTCCCCACATTTAAATGCCTTGTACCTTATGTATTTTCTAATGGAAAATAATGATGGTTCCCATCTTGTATTTTTTTTTAATCTGTGATGTCCTTGTGTTGTTTTATCTTTAGCGCAAGCACAGAAAGATTCCACATTAAACTGTGAGGCTGACAGATGTCTGGACATTTCCACCATGACATCACCTACAAAAGCAATTTTAAATTCTGAATTCACTTCATGGCAGTACAGCTCAGAAGCCAGCTGAGAGATAGCAGGGGTCCACGAACACCCCAGTTTAACATATATATCAGAAATTGAGAATTTTGAGATGCCCAGACGCTGATAGTATTGGTATTGTCTGTGCTGCACTCCTGAGAGTCATTAAAAGCAGATGCATTGAGCATTTTTACTTTAGTTTATTGCTGCCTGGATAATATTTCTCTGTATTTCCCTGTTTTTTTTGGGGTTTTTTCAGTGCTAAAGTATGGGGTATTTTTGCAAGACCTGCATACTGTAGTCATAAAAAATTGTTTGTACTGTTTCAAATAAATGCTGTTCTTTTGAACTTTTATTCATAAAAGAATCCAGAAAAGAATTCTGTCATGGTTACCACAAAAATATTTTGCAGCACCATTTTCAACATTGATAATAATAAATAATGAGCACCAAATTAACACATTAAAATTATTTCTGTAAAGGATCATGTGACACTGAAAACTAGCTGTTGAAAATTCGGCTTTGCAATCACAGAAATAAATTACATGTTTAAACTAGAAAGTTTACTAACTTTGTTTTAAAAATGTAATAATATTTCACAATATTACTGCTTTACTGTATTTTTATCAATTAAAATATAACTAAATGTCTTTAAAAACATAAAATCTGTCTGAATATTCATTTTGATCAATATACTTTATTTTATGCTTCATAATATACACGATTTATACTTCATTAATAGGGACAGTGAGAAATAAGACGAGAAATAGAGTCAAGAGCAGTGAAGAGTATCAGGAAATGTCGCAA